ACCTTTGCTCGTCGGCTGCAGATTCAACGCGGATATCCTCACCGCCTGTTTGTTGTTCTTCACGGACAAGTCGGCGATCCTGCCTGCGGGCGTGCAAATTGCCTGGTAACCGGCGAAGAATATCTGGATGTCCGGGTCGTCTGGGGTGGTCAAGTTGGAGTACCACACGCCGGTCACCTGGGCGAGGCCGGTGCTCGAGAGGGGGCCCGTTTGATTGTACAGGTATTGGTCCACGTTTGTCTGGTTGAACATCGGGTAAAACTCCTCGTCCAACGAGAAGTCCATGCCGAACGACTGGTGGTTGTGCAGATTCTCCCCGACGCCCGGCAGATCGGCCACCACGTCGATCTTCATCGACTTGAGGTGCTGCCTGGGCCCTATCCCGGACAGCATGAGCAGTTGGGGCGTGTTCACCGTGCCTGCGGACAGGATCACTTCCCGTTTCGCCAATATGATCCTCCTCCTTCCGTTCTGAAGGAACGAATCGAATGGAATGAAAGAAGAAGGAGATGGATGATAAGCAGACTTACGATCAACGCGTCCACGCCGGTCACTCTCCTCCCCAACGTTCTCACTTTGGTCACGGTCGCGTTCACGATCACGTGGAGATTCTTCCTGTGCTCGAACGGGGTGATGAACGCCCTCGCGCTGCTCACTCGAACGCCGTTCTTGCTGATCGTCTGGGCCACCGTGAAGCCGTTGATCTGGTCCCCGGACAGGTCCTCGGACACGCCGAAACCCGCCTCCTTGGCCGCGTTCAGGATCTCCCAGGCGAACGGGGGCTGGTACGGGAATCTAGGGAATACAGTTGGAATATTTACTCGAGTAAATATCGGGCTTAACCTAGCCTAACCTTTCCACGTTCATGACTCCTCCATTTCGATGGTACTTGGTCCCGACCCTGTCCAGCTCGGTGTTGTTCTCCGATTTCAGGTAATACGGCATCACCTGGGAAAAGGGAAGAGAAATCAAGTCGAGAAACGTGACTGGGTGTTGGAAAAGGGAGCACCTCGTCCCAGCTCCAGCCGAGGGCGCCCTGCTGCACCCATTTGTCGTAGTCTTTTCGATGGCCTCGGTGATACGCCATGCCGTGGTGAAGAGTCGTCCCCCCGAGATTCTTGCCCCGGGGCCAGTAGCAACTTCCACCGGTGCTCATGCAGGCGTGCGACTCGTTGCTCGTGTAGTATTTCCAATCCAGTTCGCCGCCTGTTGCGTCCCAAATCTCAAATACATTCTTTCCTTTTAACGCTAAACCTACCGTTTCTGAAATTTTCTTTCCCGAATTTCTTGTTGCACAAACTTACTTACCGTACTCACTTTACAATAGCACAAAATTCGGTGTTATAGATATACACCGAACTTATTGCAAACACCGTAGACAAATGTTTCGTTTAATTAGTTAAAATCCCCTTTCTACAATTATTAAGATACAAATTCTTTTTTTTTGACCGCTCGAGGAACCAGGTACACACGATGAAATGTCGGTAGGTTTAGGTTGTTAAACTCTCCATTGCATTTTCCACGAGTAAAATTAATTACCGAGATAAAGCTGAAGATTGCTAGGTATCTCGGCCCCGGCCGGCTCGTCCGGCCCCGCCTCCAGAAGCAGAACCTTCCAATTTGCAACTTCGCTCAGTCTTCCAGCCACCACCGCCCCCGCAGCTCCACCTGCACAGTTTTTGGTAGAACAGTTTCTCTTTCTTCCGTTTCGTTTCTCTTACCGCCAACCACGATGAAATCGTAGCTAATGTCCGGTATTCTAGGGGAGTGGACGCGTTGGCAGGGCTCGCCGATCCTCGGATTGGTGGCGACGAAGAGGTTGAGAAGGGCGAGGAACAGTTCCCCGTTGCTGGCCGAGCAAACGTCGGTGAGCTGAGGCCCGCCCAAGAACGGCGTGGTGCAGGGGAGCGAGGACAACGCGTCGTGGTACATCGAGTTTATAACGTTCGCCTGGAATTATTCCTCTCTCTCTCTCTTTTCTTTTCTACGAAAAAGGGCGGAAAGGTTGGAAAACGTACCATGTTGCTCGAATCGTAGGAAACCGTGCACGGCGGGCGTTTGGTCTGTTGAACTGGACTCTGGGATCCCCCTGTTCCCCTTTTATAGCCTCCTTTTCCCCCGACGATTGATGATGAAGAGCGCGCGATAATGAAACATTTTGAAAACGAGACGCGAGAAGACAAATGACGCGTCCCGTGTTAATCAATTAATTATATCCGGGGAAAAAAGAAACGTTAAAAAATCATTGCGTCGACGTTTATTATCTGTCGTTGATGGATCGACGGATTATTCGATCGGAAAGGAATCGTCGAAGGATGATCGATGACCGGCCCCGTAAATCGGTAAAAATTGTTTCGAACGTTGTGTCGTGAATATTTCGTGACACTTTCCACCATTTTACGGCCGAGCGTCGATTATCTCCAATTCGACGCTTAATTTCACACTAATTCGAATGCGTGATTAAAGCGTCTTATCGCGTCTTTCTCTGATAACGTGCAAAAACGTTCTCTCAACCTTGCACGCGCGTCACAACTTTAAAACGAATTATTCGCTTGCTACACGTGTCGCAAACAACATTAAGAGATTCGTAATCCTGATTGATCGCCGGCTATTCGCGATATCTCTTTCAAATCGTCTCGAGACAGGCTTGGCGTCTATTTCGGCTGTCTATTTAATTAGGCAGCCAGAGGAAGAAGAATTCATTATTCAGACGTTAAGGAGTTACGTTACGTTCCATTCTCTAGGATCCCTCTTTTTCTTAAAAGGAAGTGGTGGAGTTGGCGCGAAAATTATTTATATTTCGTTTCAACGGAAATTCGTATATAGGTAATACGAATAAAACAGATGCGCAAGGTGGTGGAACAAATTGGATGGATAATAATTCAATTTATTGATCCGCATATTAATAGTGGCGATTTACATTTCTTGGTTTCGACGTTGATACACAGAGGATAATAATCGAGTAGGCTCTCCCAAAACACGAGACAAAACCGTGGCGAATATCCTCTACTCTGGTAAGGGTTGTTGGATCATGGACTAGAAGATGGATCTTGACTACCAGTCACCCTGGTCCCAGTCGATGTATTTGATCCCCCAAAGCAACAGATCCAACGAGTTGTCGACGGTGGGATGGGAAGAACTACTAATATGGAAATATGGCAAATATTGACTATCTAGTGACTACTATCATCCATTCCCCTTTTCAGTGTTTCCACGCATGGGAAGAAGCATGCCCGTACCATTTTGACGGCGCACCACCCCACTCGGACTTGACGAAAGCTGCCGCCCTCTCGCCGATCATGATCGCTGGAGCGGCCGTGTTCCCGGATATCACCTTTCGTCAAAAACAACAAACCTCGCAATATTAACCTCGATTCATTCGTGTACACGCTTTGTTGGAGAAGAGAGAAAATGAGAGATACCCGAGGCATGATGGACGTGTCGGCGACTCGCAACCCTCTGATACCGTGGACCCTGAGCCGGGGGTCGACCACGGCCATCCTGTCGGTGGCCGGGCCCATTTTGCACGAGCCAGCCTGGTGATTCTCCGGCCCTGTGTCCTCACGTATGGCGCACCTCCAATAATCGTCGCTCGGGTAGGCGTGTTGCGAGCAGGCGGGCAGAGGAGCGTTGCTAAGCGTCATATTGTACTTGGCCAGGGCGGACGTGTTGCTCAGCGACAAGGCTATCTGGATTCCGTGGAGGAGGACGGCCTCGTCCATCGGGTCGGTCAAGTAATTCCCGCGAATCACCGGCTTCTCGAAGGGATCGTTGCTGGCCAACCGAAGAGTACCTGAAAACGAACAAAGGACCAAAAACCGAGCAATCTTTTTTTTTTTCTCCAACTCGCAGAAATACGTACGTACCTCTGCTTCGCGGGTGGAGATTGGTGGGCGAGATGCTCACGTGGCGGCCCCCGTTGTCCATCAACGCGCCCACCTGGCCTGTGGTGGCGCAGGCCGCCTGGTAACCGCCGAAGAATATTTGAAGATCGGGGTCGTCCGGCGTGGTGTAGATCGAGGACACGATCCCCGTTAATTGGGACAAGCCTGTCGAGGCGATCGGCCCTTTCATGAACCCGATGTACTCCAACGCGGACGGCCAGCTAAGGTCGAACTCGTTCGGCTCGTCTATCGTGAACGGCAACGTGAACGACACGTGGTTGTGCAGATTCTCCCCGACCCCTATGAGCCAGATATCCCAATTACACGTTACACAAGATCGGAATCGTTAAGAAGAAGATTGGAATCACCTGGAAGATCGTGGACCACGCTCACGTTCACGGCGGCCAGATGCTCCTTAGGCCCAATCCCGGACAGTAGCAAGATCTGGGGCGAGTTGACGGCGCCTCCAGAAACGATTATTTCGCGCGAGGCACGCGCCACGCGAAGCTCGCCGTTCTTTCGAACGGAATCAACGGAATTAATTCATCGTTACGAGAAGAGAAACGAAGCTGAAACACGCGATTTACCTTGTAATATTGCACGCCGACCGCCTTCTTCTCTTGCACGATGATCTTGGTCACAGTGGCGTTGGTCGCCACTTGCAAATTCCGCCTGTTACGGAACGGCCGCAGGAAAGCGGTGGCGCTGCTGCGCCGAACGCCATCTTTGCTCATCATCTGGGCGACCGTGAACCCGGTCGACTGATCGCCGTTCAACTCCTCGGGGATCGGGTATCCCATCTCGGCCGCGGCGGCCAGTATATCGTTGGAAATGTCCGGCCTCCAAGAAAACCTCTCCACGTTGAGCAACCCGCCCGTCGAGTGATATTTCCGCCCGACCCGATTGATCTCCGTGTTGTTCTCCGAGCACATGAAGTAGGGCAGGACCTATTTCACGGGAAAGAGGGGAGGGGACGTGTGAAGTTAAGAAAAGCGTTAAAAAAGTGAATCAGACTGAGTTGGCGGATTGGTAAATCGTTAACACGCGATCATCCGCCGCAACAAAAAGGAAAAAAGTTTGGAAGTTTGGAACATACGTCCTGCCACGACCATCCATCATTGCCCATCGCCGCCCAGTCGTCGTAATCCTTGGGATGGCCCCGCGTATACATCATGCCGTTGTGGCTCGAGGTGCCGCCGAGGTTTTTGCCCCGTGGCCAGAAGCACGAGCCGCCCGACGACAGGCACGCGTTCCTCTCGTTCGTCGTTCGATAACGCCAGTCGATGTCGCTTCCTATTCCGAACCGATCTCGTCTTGATCTCTGATCGATTGATCATCTCGATCGAACGTACTTACCTAGAAACATGGCCACCATGCTGGGAAGATCGGCGCCGGGTGGCTCGTCCGGGCCAGCCTCGAGCAACAAAACTTTCCATTCCGGCTGCTCGCTCAGTCTGGACGCAACCACGGAACCAGCTGTTCCTCCTAAAGGAGAGACAAGATCGGATCGAATGGTTACGAGGTCGTAGCAGCAACAACGACCACGAGAATATAACGATTTCGAGATGAGAAGCGGAGGAACGAGCGTGAATCAGCGGGGCGGGCGAATCATCTCGCGTGGAACAGGCTCTAGAAAGTGGTTCGACCAGGCCTTGACCGTGGCGAAACACCGACGGCTAGAAGTAATTATACCGCGAGTGTGGTATGTTTACATACCGTTTTACGCGGGACGTGTTTCGCCTTCGCTTACACGTGTTTTATATATATATATATATACACGCACACATATATCGGTATATATGTGCGTAGTGAAGGGAGAAGGAGAGACAAGACGAGGATAGACGAGACGTTTGTTGTACTTTCTTCTTCGTCTGGAAAATGGGATATTCCGTTAGTTGGAACGGAATGGGAGAAGGACGAGAATAGAGATAATCGCTTGGGATATTATTTTTCCAATGTTGGTGGTACAACGGTGCATCGATCGTTTCGGTTGAAGAAGAAGAAGAAGCACAATTTGTTTCAGGAATAAATAAGAGGAGAGGCGAGACGAACAAATTGAACCATTTGCACGCGTGCTTATTCCTATGGTTTAAGGAGAGCCGGTGTTAATATTCCTATCCGAATGGCATGCAAATGTTGCGGCGTTATCTTTCAGTTTTATCGAAAGCGTGTAGCAACACGGGGTGTGTTAGTCTCGCGTTGTTGCGGGCGCGAGGATATTTATGAGACGTAGCTAATTATGAGGCCACGCTTCGGAAGATTAATACGTGAAGCTTTGCTTGTTGCGGAATAATATCGGGGCTCATCGTTGCTGTTCGAAGTAATTAACAACACGCTCGTGGCGTTTAATATTAATTAACCGTGGCGGTATTTCGTCCCGTGGCTTTTCCACCGCGACCGACTCGATCTTTCGCGACAGATTTACGCGATTTACGCGCGGTTTCACCATTTTCACCCCGTCCCCCGCCGATTTTCATCGAAATTGTGTTCTCGCGACTCGAGAAAATTCTTGAAATTTCTTCTCTCGATAAAAAAGGGGATCTGCTTTCGATCGGTGGAACGAAAACGGTGCGCTGCGGATTCCCGGTTAACCAGGATAATTAGTTGCTCGTTTAATCGGATTGTCCATCGATGGAATCGAGGGAAGAGATAGCGGACACCGATTATCGGGGGAACGAGGTTGTTCGGTCGTGCGCAATAGCGCAGAAAATAAGCCGTTTCGAATCACCATCCGCTCGTTACTTCGCTCTTGCCCCACTTTCTTGCATTCTCGAGTTGAGGGAAACGTCGTAGCTGCGACGAGACGCGTTGACCGCGATGGTGTAACAGTCGCGCGTGAAACGCGAACGAAACGGTTGAGAAGAAAGTTTTTTTCCCCGATCGAGCTCGTTTCAAGAAACCGACGATCGAATCGAATCTTTCGATATTCGAAAGAAAAGTAGATCCGAGAGTAGAGAGAGAGAGAGAGAGAGAGAGAGATCCACCTTTTGTTTTTTCCTCGTTTCGCCAGTAGCGGCGCTCCCTTCCCTCGGACCATCGATCGATCGCGAAGAGACAGAAAGAGAGAGAGATAGAGAGAGATCAGATCGGGTGAAAATCAAGTTTTTGCATCGGCGAGAAAACGTTCCACGACTCGGTTGCGTAACCATCGATCTCCTTCTCGATCTCTTCGGTTTTACGGCGCGAGAGCGAGTCGAATCTTTCCTCTATCGTGGCGACGCGACTCTATTTACATTCCATCGACGAACGCCGCGCCTTTGTTTGTCCACCGATTTCTTCCTCGTTCTTCGCCGAACGTATGCATCGCTTTTTTGGCCAAGGATCAATCCCTTCCCATCCTTCGTGAGGTTCGAAAGGAAAGGACGAAATACGTTTTATATTCCACGGTATATCTGCTCTTTGGCCGAGTGGAGCTCGATCGAAATTTAGGAGGGGTGGCAGGGATCCGCGGCGTGACGAGCAGAAATTTCACACTAATCTGCGCGTGGCCGCGCATCGATGCCCGGGGATGAAAAGGAAGGCGGAAAAAAAGAGAGAGAGAGAGGGAGGGAGAGAAATTGCGTATAATCGAGGAAAAGTGTCACCGGTCAAATAACATTTTCATCGCGCGATACGTTGAATATTCGGCGAGATTATGGAAATAACGGGCTCGGCCGGCTATTATAAAATATTTTCGCGGCACTCGGGCCGAAATGCATATTTTATCATAATTGCCGCGCTCGCGTACGTAACCACGAACGGTGTAACGTGTTCGTGATCCGATCCTTTCCACCGGATCGTATCTTCCTCCACAGCCTTTAATCAACCTCTGTCTACGGAAGGAATCGCGAATCGATTTACGTAACGGGGATAATCGCGGTTTCCGTATCGCGCGATTCTCCATCATGTGTTGTTTTGGAAAGGAAGATCGCCTATTCGACGCGAGTGTTGTTTATTGTCGTTGCAACGAATTTAACGACGAATCACGCGATTTAATTCACTCGTTGAAACGATTGCAAAAACAGCGTCCCCGTCCCCCTCCTCCCCCCCCACTGCTTTTTATACAGTGCAGAGCTAGATTGAAGAAACGATCGAGAAACGATGATTTAAAACTTTCTCGAAATCTAATTACCCAATCCTATGCGCGAATCATCGTAGCGTAGGTAATAACAAATGCGAGAGAAGCGTATTAGGCAGCTAGAGATCGATAGGAATTATGATAAGCGGTATAACGGTATAAAATGATATTAATAACACGGTAATCGATCGAGTGAATAACAGTTTGCTATTTGATAATCCCGTTCGTCTAAACGGTGAACGGGCATTTCTGTCTCCGTGATCGACGAGTTACGATCGCACCAATCCACCACCGCTTCCCCACTTGTGTGGGATCGACGATAATTTTGTTTCCCCTCCTCTCCTCCTTTTGCGCCCCCCCCCCCGTGTAAATAAAATAAATACGAAACCACGATAG